CTCTCTCTCTCTCTCTCTCTCTCTGTTTTTATATAACATAATATAATATTATTAATATAAACGTTTACGTTTTGGCCACTCAGTTCGTGATCGCCGAAACACACTATTGTCTGTGTTTCGCGACGTCTAGGTAGTTTAGAATAATTTGAATTCACTTTTATACAACACTGAATCCCGCTGTCGACTTTCTTCTTGTATATGTTTCTTGGTAGAGACGAATCCCGCGATCCAGTTCGGCGGCTCATCTCCTCCTCTTGGCTGTAATCCCGCTTGTCTTCACTGTAGCCATTATTTGCCTCAACGTCGGTTCTGGGCTGCACATTATCGGCTCACACTTCATACTGCCGTCACCTTCGCAACTGAAAATTTGAAATCCATTCTCATTATTCTGCTGAGAGATAATGCAAGATTAATTAGAGATAATGTTGGGCGTTAATCGATTAAACTTTTCTTTGAGTAAAATAATTGACAAATCAGTCATTGAAATTAACCAATCGTCATGTACAAAATCATAAATAACTGATGAATAATTTCATCAATAAATTAAGTTCAATCAATTAATTAATACTCGTGATGATTACATTCATGATGATTTGTTAATTGTGATTATTGATCCGCTGATCGTTTAAAAAAAAAAATTTTAATTGATTGATTGTTTAATACTGATTAGGGATGATAATCGGTATGATAAAAATGATATATTCGTAGCTAAAAACATGATTCTTAATCGATCGACTTACGTGCAATTGCGACAAGGTCCAGACGCTGATTTGATAACTTCTCCTACCCGATAAGCTTGGCCATGAATCTGGCAGCCGCTTCGTCTCGCGGCGCCTTTGTAAGCGTGAGGATGGAAAAGCGGTGGTAACGTGGTGGTGGTCGTAGTGGTAGTTGTAGTCAAATTCAAAGCCGTGGCCATTGACACGGGACACTCGTATCTCGGGCAACAGAAACCATTGATCGGTTCCTGGTGGCAGCCCGGGATCGGCGGCGGGCAGCTCTGCTGGAGACAGATAATGTCGCTCCTGAAGCAGAAGCAGAAATCGCACGGGTCGTCCCTGGGTATCTGCTGCGCTGAAACATAGACTTTGCCGCCGTATCGACAGGTGCCAGGTCCGTAGTTCTCTTGGTCGTCCTCTTCATAGTCTTCGTCAGGATTCAAGTAACTGCTGCCGCCTGGCATAGCAAAGTGAGAACCGTCCTCGCCAGATACAGAAGATTGGTCAGGATATTCCGGTAGATGAGGAGCCAAAGTGCTGGATGGTCGCTCATGGTAGCTAGGTTGATGTGGGCGTTCGGTCGTTTCCGCGGTATGATTCACCGGTCGCAAATGTTCTTCGTCGGATCCGAGTGTTAGTTCACCTTCCGTGGAATAGTCGGTGTCTGGTTTCAAGGTGGTCTCCGGGAAGTGATCGACGTGCGGATGACCGACCTCTTCACTCTCCTCGGGAGCTTCCTCCGTGATCTCAGCTGTTGGCAATTTTGTAGGTATCGGCTGCATTTTTGTGACATGCTCCTCGATCGGCGCTTCCGTCGGCGGTGCCGTCGAGTACGGAGTTTCTTCAGGGCTCGTCGCAACCTCGGATTCTGATTCTTCGGGTGTTGGGACAGGAGTAACCTTTTCTTCGGACACGACTTCGACTGGCACCTTGATTGGATATTCTTCCTCAGGAACAATAGTTTCCGAAGTATGCTCCTCTGGTTCTACCGACGTTCCCGGCGTATGTTCCGTAGGTTGAGATCCCTCGGGTATCTCAGGATGAGCCTCTTCACCTTCCTCAAGTAGAGTAGGTTGAGTCTCTCCTGGTGTCTGAGTTTCCTCTTCGGAAGGAAGAGGACCTTCAGTAGGCTGCAGTTTCGTTACTAGCGGTTCCTCATGATCTGAAGATGTTTCAATTGGATAAGTGGGCACAGTAGAATACACTTCGTGTTCTTCTTCTGTTGGTTTCTCCTCAGCTTCCGGAATCTGCGATACCTCTTCCTCCGGTAATTTTTCTTCGGTCACAGGAACTTCGAGTGCTTTCGTAGTAGTTTCAACTTGTTGCTCCTCAGGCGATTCTGTTTCTTGTACTGGTTTGACTGGCTCTTCCGTTTCGGGTGAAATTTCTTCGGGCTGTCCGGCGGAGCTTACTTCGACGGAAATTCTCGTGACAGGTATCTCTGGTTCCTGCGTAGCACTCTCAGATGTAACGGATTCTTCTTTGGGTGGAAGTTTTTCCACCTCGCTAGGCTCGGTCGCTGGTTTCGATACCTCCTCTTCTAGAGTAGATAACGTTGTCTCACGCTCAGGCTCGTGAGTGCTTTCCTTCTCTTCTGTTTCTATTGGTACAGTCGGGTGTTCCTCAGGTATCGGACTAGCCGCAGTTGTCGCTTCTTCGCTCACAGGGTGTTCCGGCTCACTCGTAACTTGAACTTCCTCCTCAGGTTTCTGCGGAATAATCGTTACGTCGGATTCCTCTGGTATTTGAACTTTTACACCCGGTGCTTCGGACGGTGTTGTTATTTCTTGCTCCGCAGAAGGTTGTTCCGTTGTTTCAGCGTGAGTTACAGCTTCTTCCTTAACAATTTCTTCCGTTGTTATTTCTTTGGCCGGTTCTGCTGTGACCTTTTCTTCTTCTTTACCAATTTCTTCCGTTACTCCAACTTCAGGCTTTTGCTCTTCTTCACTTGCTTCTTTTTCAGGAGCCACAGTTTGTTCCATCGGCAACTCGGTTTCAGGCTTGGCACTTTCAGTAGTCTTTTCAGTCACTCGTTCTTCCTGACTCGTTGTGCTTTCCGACGTGGCTTCTTCTACCAAAACGCCAGCTTCCGACGTTTCACCCTCACTGGGTATAGAAGAGACAACAGTTTGGTCTTCGACAGGGCGTTCTTCGAGTTTTGGAGTTTGTTCTTCGATCGAAACAGTAATATGTTCCTCTTCTACAGTCGGAGCTTCAGATTGAATTTCGGGAGAAACAGTTTCCGTTTCGCCTAGACTTGGCTCGGAGGTTTCCTTTACAATTGGTGTAATCGGTTGTTCGCTGGCTTCCTCCTGTACAGGTACAGCTATTGTTTGCGCCTCCTCGGGTGTCGTATGCTTTTCAGCGGGTGATTCAGTCGTATGAAGCTCGGTTTCAGGCGTGATTTCTTTGACCGGGATCTGTGTACTTTCCGGCTCGTGAGCGACACTAGGCTTAGTGGGTTTCACATGTTCTGCTTCTGCTTCAGTGACTTCCTCGACCTCCGTAGTCTTTATTGATTGCTCAGTACTGATTTCTGGAGATACAGGTTCCAATGGTTCTTCACCTGGCGATTTCGTGACGGATGGCTCTTCTTCGTGTTCTGTAACTAATACTTCCGTAGGCTCTTCAACATGCTCCGTAGTTTCTATTGCCGCAGTACTTTCCGTCGGTGCAACTGCTTCCGGCGATGTCTCTTCATGGGTAACCTCAGGGATAGATCCTTCGGTTGGCTTGGCAGCTTCCTCGCTAGGCTTTTCTTCTAGTTCCTGTTCAGTCGTTACACTGCCAGATACTTCTGCATCAACAGGCAATATAGAAACGGTAACATGCTCCTCTTCGATTGCAGGAGCTTCAGTTGAGACTTCTAATTCCGTTTCTCCTTTGCTTTCTTCTGTAGGAGTCTCCTCGGAAATTCTTACAGTCACTTGTTCCTCCAACGGTGCCTCTTCGGTTGCTGTATGATCGTGTATCAAAGTCGTTGATTCGGCAGCAGATGTGGTCGGTTTCTGTGTTTCTATCTCACCGGCAGGCAATTTCGTTTGACTTTCAGGTTCTTCGGTTTGAGGAACTTCTTCGCCTTCCGTTGACGTGACAGTCTCCTCTTTCTTTTCCTCTTCTTGTTTAGGCTCTTCCTCAGGCTTATGTTCCGTTGTCTGCTGAACTTCAGGAATGGAAGTGCTTTCATATTCAGTCGGCTCGACCGTCTTTTCTTCCTCAGGAATTTCCGGTTTCGTCGGTTGTTCTTCCGTTATGACAGCTGGTTCTTCTGGTTTTGTAGATGTCTCGTGCTCTTCGGCAGTACCTTCAGTGATTGGTCCCTCAGAAGTTGAGTGAATTTTCTCTTCTCCCGGTTGCTCCTTTTCTGGTTCTTCAGTCGGTTGTAGAGTAACTTGTCCTTCGATACCTTCTTCTTCGATGGGTCTTGCCTCTTCTTTGACCGGTATAGTAATTTCTTCTTCTTGGCCAATTGGAACGGTTGTGACTTCTTGTTCTCTCTCAGCGGATGTCGAAACTTCTACTTCAGCAGGACCAGGAGTTTCTTTCTCTTCTGTCACGGTAGGAACGGTAATTTCCTCCTCCTTATGAGGAGAGGTCGAAATTTCCTCCTCGGTGCCATGAGGTTTTTGCTCGACAGGTGCATGAGTGGAAGTAATCGCTTGCTCTTCTTCGCCACTGACAGAAGTCTGCTCCTCAACGGTCTCTTGCGGTTGTTCGGTCGAGGTAGCCGGTTTAGTTAATTCTTCTCCCTCTTCGCTAACCTTGCCTTCTTCTGTAGTTTCTTCCGATACAGCCTGCGGCTCAGTGTGTTCTTCCTCCTCGGTAACCTGAGATACAGTAGATTCCTCTGGTTTCTCGGGTACGGAACTAACGGTTTGCTCTTCAGTCTGTTCTTCAACAGTTTGTCCAACTGTAGTCGGCTGTTCGTAAGCTGGTTCGACAGACTTGACAGTCGTTTGCTGCTTCTCAGTCGCCGTCGACTCTACCTCTTCTTCCGGTTGGGAAACAGAGGGCAAAGTGACTTCTGCAGGCTGCGATTCCGGCGTGCTAATTTCACCAGCTACCGTACTAGCTTCTTTCGCCTCTTCGGTAACTTCCGTAACAGTTTCCTCCGTCGATATTTCTGCCGGCGAGACAGTCTTCTGGCCTTCCTCTTCTCCTGCCTCGGGAACCTGAGGTTCGATCATATGACTATCAGACTCCAATTCGACGGTCGGTGTCGAATCGCAAGCGTACATCGGACAACACGAATCTCCGCTCGCGCGAACCGGCATACAGTTGGAGAGATGCGCTGGCGGTGCGGGGCATTGCACGAGCTCGCATTCCACGATACTGCTGACGCAACGGCAACTGGTTTGACACGCGTTCGCCGGTGGAACGGCCGAATTATTACTGTAAGATTGCCCCTCGACGAGACAATTACCTTCTCCCGGAATACCCGATGGACGAGGAGCGATCTCCGGCGTGGTCTGTTCTTCTATGGGAGTCTCTTCGGGAGCACTTGTTGGGTGTTCTGTCGAATATTCAGGTCCTTCCTTCAAAGGTACTTCAGTAGTGATTTTCACCATAAGTATTTCTTCTTCTGGAGCGACCGTCGGGTGCTCCTCGTGCACCGGCGTCTCTACCGTCATTTCTTTACTTTCTTCTTCACCTTCGGGTTTCTCTGGCTGTTCTTCGGGCACTTTAGGTGTTTCCGGAATTTCGGCTTCCTCGGTAGATATTTCGACAGGTATACCTTCTGCTTCCTCGCCTGGTTTCTCCTCCGTTACCGGTGGTTGAGTGGTTTGTTCATGCGTTTCTTCTTCCGAAGGAATTACGGATTCGGTTGTAATTTCTTTCTGAACGGCAGCTTCACTTGCCTGCTCCGTATGTTCTTCGCCGAGTTCGGGAGACTCGGTTGACACCTCAGAAATTAATTCTGGCTTCGTGGTACCTTCGCTTATCGCACTCTCAGTTGATGATTCGCCGACACCCGCACCTTCTTCCTCCACAGACGGTTTTTCGGGCATCGGGCTGGTAGGTTCCTCATAAATGACCGGGCTGGGTGTTTCGGTCTCCTTTCTTACGTGCAATTCAGGCTGTTCCTCTGTGACTTGAGTCGGCGTCTCTTGTTCAGATGGTTCCGTTGCGACTTCTTCCGGTTGCTCGCTAGCTACTTCGGGTTGCTCGCTCGAGGCCGGTTGTGTAACAGCTTCCTCTGCGCCAGCAGATTCCGTTGTATCGACACCTTCGACCGGTTTTTCTTCCGGTAGAGCAGGTTCGGTAACAGCTTCTTCCACGGATGGAATGTGAGTTCCTTCTACCTCGGGAAGACCTGTCGGTTTCTGCGGTTCTTCATACGTTTCAGTTACTTCCTTCTCTCCGAGAGACGGCTCCTGAGTCATTTGTCCTTCGCCTTCTTGCTCGCCTTCGCTTGGTTTTGGTTCGACAGGTTCTTGATCCTCTTTGCGATCTGTGATCGAAGGCTGAGTCGGCAAATGTTCCTTGCTAATAGAAGGTTCGGTCTGCTCCGTCTCTTTTTCCACTACCGGAGTGGACTCGATTTCAGCTATAGGAACTTCTGTCTGCACTTCCTCCGTGGACACAGGAACAGGAATTTTCTCCTCGCCTTCTTCTTCTGGTTTCTCAGGAGGATGTGTTACGGGCAATTCCGTTTGTTCGATACCGGTTGGCTCCGTCGGTTGCACTCCCGCGGTTCCTTCGGACGATTCTTTTTCAGTTGTCGCGGCTTCGGTTTGTCGTTCGATACTTTCGGTAGACACGTCTTTCATGCCTTCCGTTTCCTCAGGTTTTTCTTCGATCGTAGGTGGCGCGGTTTCTTGTAAACCGTGGCCTTCTGTAACGGCACCTTCTTCCAAATCTTTCTCCGTAGAATACTGCTCAGGTTGCTCAGTTTTTTCTTCTTCGACAGCAGGTGCTTGCGTCGTAGGTTTCTCTTCAGCTTCTTTGATCATTTCCGTAATTTCTCCCTCTTCCGAAACAGGTTTTTCAGTTTGCGATTCCTTCTCTTCTTCGCCAGTTACGCCCGGTGTCGCGGTAGGTTCCTCCGCAGCAGGTTCCTCACTGGTGACCGGTTTTTCTTCCTCGACAGGAGCAGTTTCAGTTCCTTTCTCTTCTACAGCCTCTGGCGTTGATGACTCGGCGGACGGACTTGCCATAGTAACTCGTTCACCTTCCGTTACTTGTTCTTCCCCAAGGGTTGAGGGCGCCGTCGAGTGTTCACGTTCGGCTGGAATCGGTGTAGGCGTTTCAGGAGCCACTTCTGGTTCTGTTGGCGTTACCGAAGATTGTGCTTCTCCTTCTTCCTCGCTTGACCCCTCTTCCTTCTTTGGTTGCGATTCTTTCTCGCCTGATTCGCCGCTGATTTCCTCGGAGGAAGTTTCGCCGGATTCTTCGATAGTGAGTCCCTTCATGGGTAATTCCTCGCTACTGGGAGCTTCCTCCGTTGACTGAACTTCCGTTTGCGGCGCTTCGGTTTCGATTTCAGCCGGTACGCTAGGCTTCTCAATCTCCTCAGGCTTTTCAGGAATGTGCTCTTCATGAGCGACAGTAGTTGCTGATGGCTCTGTGCTACTTTGAGCTGCTTCAGGAGTGCTTTCCGCCTTAGGTTCTTCGGAAACTGTAGCAACTTCGGTGGCAGTAGCTTCTTTTTCAGTCGACAAATTTATTTCCGTAGCTTCTTCTGGTTTCACCGTCTGTTCTGCCGATACTTCAGCGCCTTCTTCCACAATCGGTTTTGCGGTCTCCTCTTCCGCCGGTACTTCAGTACCTTCTGCAACTGGTTTCGTTATCTCCTCCTCCGACGGTGCCAAAGTAGTCTCTTGCGGGAGGTGCGTCGTAGGTATTTTCTGCGGAGTTTCGGTCACAAGATTATCTGAGCTGATTTCTGGACGTGTGGTATCCGGGTAACTCACAGTCACGTGATATTTGTCCTCCGCCTTCTGTTCTGGCATTCGTTCGGGGATCGGGATGCCGGTTGGACCTTGAGTCGGAATTTCCGGAGTCGATTTCTCCACTTCTTGCTCCTCCGAAGTGACAGGTTCCTCGCTTATCGCTGGACTCTCAGTCAGACCGGTATCTTCTTTCTTAGCGCCAACAGTGACGCGCTCTTCTTCAGTTGTTGGATGTTCTGATGTTGGCTCTTCTGGTTTGTGCTCCTTCTCGGCTTCGCCCTCGCCTGCTATCGGTTTTTCTTCTTCTTCAGCGGGTTGTTCCTCAGGTAGACTCACTTCTGTTGAAGGAGCTTCTTCTATAACAGTGGCTTCCGTCGAATGCAGTACTTCCTTCTCAGTGACGGCTTGCTCGGTGCTAGAAACCTCATGAGCTACAGTCGCTTCTTCTACCGATGATTCGGTCTCTGTCATCAGAATTTCACTCGGTGTAGTTTCCAGCGGATGCACCTTACCTTCCTCCGTGGACTCAGTGATTGATTCAGGAATAGTTGTAGCAGCAGGTTGTTCGGCTTCTGCAATCGCGGATGTTGTCTCCTCCGCGACTTCGGTCGAAATTTCTGGCCTTTCCGGCGTTTCAGACGAGCTAACTTGCCCTTCTTCCGTTGTCTTTTCTGCCTCAGTTGCTTCTTCTGGAAGCTGCGCTGGAAGTCCCTCGTGTGGACTAGTGATCTCTTCTAGTCCCGGTTTCGTCACAGCTTCAGTCTGTATTTCTTCGCTAACCGCAGGTTCAGCCGATTGTTCTTCCTCGACGATAGCGGAAGTACTGTGCTCCTTCTCAACCACACTCTCTTCCGTACTCACATGTTCTTCTGGTGCGTGTTCTGTAGTTAACGTTTCCTCACTCGGCTGCAAACCTTCCGAGATGGACGAAACTTCTACCGCGGGTGCTTCGCTACCTTCGACTTCTTCCACCGCGGGCGCTTCGCTACCTTCGGCCTCTTCCACCGTGGGCGCTTCGCTACCTTCAGCCTCTTCCACAGCGGGCACTTCCGTCTCTGCTGCTGCTGTTCCCACAGACATTTCGGCTTCTGTCACCGCTTCCTCCGACGCTTCCTCAGTGGCGACAGGTTTGGTGACATGTTCATGAGAAAGCGTAAATTCCTTCTCGACGGAGGTAGTTTCCGTTTCAGGCACATTCTCATCCGCTGGTTGCGTTGCAGAAGTTTCTTCTTCTGGTATCTCGGTGGACGGAACACGCCCTTCCGTGACGTGCTCGATACTTGCCTGAACACTCTCCTCTTCCTCCGCCCCATGCTCGTGATCATGCGGTATAACGTTGTCTGCACCTGGGAAAGATTCCTGCTGCGGCTGTTCGTTCTTCACCTGCTGATCCTGATCCTCATCGATTAGCATGGGCGACTCGGTGATTTGCAGGTCATGCGGTATTTGCTCCGGAAGTTGTTCCTCGCCTTCTGATAGCGTAATGATTCCACCTTGCCCGTCTTCCTCTGTAATGATCGTACACACACGCGCACGTGCATCCCTTAATGCCCAATGCTCATCGGCTAACAACTTCTATTAGAGATCAGCGAGCTATATATGTTACATCGCAACCGTCAGTTATTACGCAAAATTACTCACCACACTGGTACGTGGTCGGGCAGCATTCCCCTTCCGGCGGGGGTACAGCCGTGCAATTCTTTCCGTGCGCCTGCATCGGCGTTCCGCAATTTTGCACCGCACAGGCGATCTCGCCTCCGAAGCAATAGCAGTGCTGGCACGGCTGAGTCGAATAAATCAGCTCACCGTCCTCGTAGACCTTGCCCTTTTGGTAACACTGAGGCAACACACCGGGAGGCAGTGTCGTGGTCATGATGAGACCTGGTGTCGAACCAACCGTGGTGCTGGGTTCCTCGTCGTATTCTGAAACGAACAATTAACAATCGTGTGAACACTTTTTCGCGCCGCAGGCGAAAAGTATCGCCGGTCAACGAAACTTACCGCAATTGTATTTAATCGGACAGCACACACCCGGTTGGTAGACCGGTTTGCATCCCGCCACTCGTAAAGTACACTCTTGCATGACGCAGGTGGTTCTGTTTCTGATGCAGTAGCAGAGCTCGCAAGGATTGTGATGGTCCAGCGGCATCTGAGCGCCGTCTGGATAAAATCTGTCGTCGACGTTGCAACCATAATTATCGTGGAAGCCGAGTTCTGTGGAGTCCGAGGTCGCCGGTATGCTCGTCGTCGACGTGAGCAGTTGGACCGGCACTTCCGGACATGTGATCACCGGGCAACACTGATCCGGACGCTTCTCCACCGTGCAATCCTGACCGATCGCCTTCGTGAACGGGCAGACCTTCAGGTAACACATCAGCATTCGATTGTGGCATGTGCAATTCAGACAGGGCTCGCTCGTGATGATCCTGTCACCTTCTTGGTAACGCTGGAAGTTGAAGTAACATCCAGCGGTAGCTGGAGGGGAGGTTTAACGTTAATAGTCGCGTCAGATCGTACAAGTGTCGTGATTGCGTGAAATTGCGTGATTATTATCATTCACGTGATCGCACCACGAGGCGGAAGAAATCAAGCTGCTTAATTTTGCAACGTAATTTGTTCGTGTGATGCTCGAGAGAAAATCTTGCGATCGCGATTATACGTTGTCAAGCGAGGCGCACAATAATCGTACATCAACACGTGCGGCTTCTCGTACTACGATGCGATTAACGTCACGTTTATCGGCGCGCGGGCGCACGTCGATTGATTAGGTGATCGTAAAAGCCGGCGTGATATACATACCTCCATCGTACTCTGCGATCTGTGTGGTATCCTGATCGTATACCGGCGCTGCAATCAAAGAAACACGATTCTTAGCGGCATGTTGTCGTACACGCCAAAAGGTGCGTGCGCTGCGCGCGGAATTAAAGTTAATGGAAAGCATAAAACGGGATTGCCGAATAAGCCCGGTGAATTTTGCAGGGGACATCAATGCGTCTCCCGCGTGCAGTTTATCATAGTAATTACCAGCGGGACGCATTCGTCTCTCGAGGGTGTACCGGGGCTTAACAACGAGCGGAACGAGTGGAAGCGTCATATGGCGCGAACACACGTGGGCGAATTCTCGTTAACACCCTCGCCCCGGTCGAACGAACGAATTGTATGGCGAGCGCGAGCAGAATACTGAATTCCCGCCGGCTTCTCGTTCTGTCTGTCGCCCGGTCCGCGCGCAATCCGCGCGGACACTCGCACAACGCGAATCCACCCCCGTCGCCCTCTCGGCCGAGGGATCATTCTTCTTTTCTTACGCAACTCGCTTTCGCGATATCAAAGAAATTGAAATGTCGCGCGCAGGACTCGGGTTTGATTGTTCCTGGAGGGTGACAGCACGCTCTCTTGAGGTACAATCACCACGACATTCTTGAAGTTCGCACAATGAGCCTTCTCTCCGCCACTCTCACTCGCTCCCGTTCTCGCCTCTTCGCCCCGAAAATGCGCTTCGGCTTTTTATCACGTCAGGACATCCGTGCAATGTATACAGAGTACGGATGAGAAAGATCTTCGATAAGAAACAGTCACGTTATTGGTCACATTGTATCATCTCGATCAAATGTCAAATGTGTCTCGACGAGAGACTGATAAAATGGCGAATCTCTCGCGAGCGATGAATCGCGCGTTTGCATTTCCGCGTCAAGCTCGTTGACTACCGATGCATTCCACGGTATATCGAAGCGAGCTGCAGGATATTCGCGAATTAGCATTCCGCGACGTAGCGGAGTGCGCAGGCGGTTTCCAGCGAATCGAATTGTACTGGGAACTACGCCGGGTGAATGGAGGCCTCCGGTCGTGTCTCGTCAGTCCCACGAGCGGGACCCGAGCCGCGTGCCTCCACGTTACACGGACCCATCACGTACGCATGCACTGGCCTACCGAGACGATTCTTGTCTCGGCACAATGGTCGGACTAAATTATTACGTCGCACACCTTCCTCGCACGAGAAGACCACGGTCAAGGTGTCGAGACTCCGTGACGCGATTATAGTCTCTCCCTCTTTCTCTCTGTACGCGCCAACTATAGCGCTCTTATACAATATGATTATTCAATGAGTACACGTGCAGCGACATGCATTCGCACTAATTAAACACGTATAATGAGACGGGCGGCGCATTGCCGATCGACGGCAGTTCGACACGACGGTGAATAGCGGGAAATTACGTAAGGTGTCTCGTTGCGGAAGCGATAACACACCTATTCGTCGCGATCGACCTCTCTTTCTCTCACGGAGTTCTCAACGAGGAATCGTCGCCGTCCTTCGAACGGTCCGCGTCAATCCTTACGACGAAACTGCCGGACACGCTCCAAAAAGCGAATGACCACTTTTTGCCACGCGAGCAAACATTTCCTCCGTTTCTTTTCGGTCCAGCGGTGATCGATAAATTACCGTCGTGGATCTAACGGGACGATCATTGAGCGCGTACAAGCGGGAGACACCGAGGAAAAAAGCGACGCGTTTCGACGGTGATAACGGAGAGTCGTGATGAAGCGCGATCATCAACGCGAGTCTGCACATTACTTGACCCGCGCACTTTTCGACGCCCGTTTTCGTCCCAACGCCGCGAAATCGACGCGAGAATCGCGAGCTGCCCCGGCGTGGAGGAAGTCGAGCGAGGATCGCCCGATAAATCTCACCGCGGCGAGATAACACCGCGCGGCATGGCAGCGGAAAAAGCGCGCTCGCGAATAAAACGCGCCGTACAAAGCCGCGCGGAAGTGCATCGATGCACCGGCGAGGCACGCCGCGGAGGTAGACCTCACGAGGTGTACCTGGTACGGACCCTAAATCAATCTTGAGCGCGTGAAAAAGGACGACGTGGGAGTTTATCGGTATCAACAATAAACGCATCTTCTCTCGAATATAATTTCCGCGCGCGAGAGATTTATACGTTCTTCGGCCGCCTCGCGCTCGTAATCGAAGACAGAGGATCGCGCGTACGAGTGTACATGCGCATACATACACACGCACGTACTCGAGGAGTCGCGGGGAGTCATTATGTAAGTCAACGTACCGCCGAGTCCTCCCGTTTCCTCTTCGCGTGTCGTTCCTCCCCGCGATTGTCTCGTTCCCGCCGCGGTGCCCCTCTCGGTTCCACCAGCGCGATGTGTCTCGACCTGACCCGCGCGTCCCCCTTTCTCCGCGCGACCGTACTCTCGCGAACGATGCTGTTACACCGCGAGAGCCTCGCAATGCGGGCGAGGGCAAGAGAACGATGCTGTTGCGCGTTATGAAATCATCCCCGACGGCCTTGCCTCGCGAAAGTTCATTACCATCAACCGCACACGCTCCGATGAACACCTGGCGCGGCCTCTGGCGTATCGCGTGCACGAAATTCTGCATTACGCATCCTCCAAGGTCGCGGTTTTCACCGTCGCGTCGCGCCACGCCGGTTCTCCGCGCTCGTGCACTCCCGCGCGCTCATGGAAAAGATGATGGGATAATTTCATCCCTCGTTGCGCGCGGGATTTCCCGTAGACAAGCCGGCGAGACACGCCTCGAGACCTCTTATCGGAGCGTCGACTCGACTAACAAAGCTTACGTAATTCTCCGCACTCTACGTAATCTTATCGAAATAAATTCGTGTTTTACTCAGACAGGTTGAAAAATGGCAGTCTCCTGTTTGTATCGGTGCGCGACCGTTAAAGTCAATGTCACGGGTATCGGGAATGTAACGCCGAGGCAACCTGGCCGACCGGTTCTGGCGTAATACGCCGTGTAGTGTTTCTAGCGCGGTGCCCCTTTCGTGGACAATCATAAATTATATTCTCCCAATCACGGATCGAGTTCATTGCCACTTCCTACATTATGAGGCGAGTCCGCGCGCCGTTACGTTCGGTAATGAGAATAATTCCCGGACGAAAGGAATGCTCATTTCCGATAAGGAGCGTGCCGTTCGAGATCCCTGAACCGATTCACCTCGCAACCTAGGCGCGCACACAGGAACGTTTGGCACGTCGGATTTAGCGGACTTCAAAGCGTGATATCACGCGCTCGATCGCGCGGATATCGCTCTTAACCCTTTGACTGCCCCAGGAGAAGTCGTAAAAAGCGCGCGATTAAAAGTGCCGCACCTGCCGGCGGAACTCAAATGCTAATGCGCTCGGGAAATAAGTGAGGCCGTGTAAAAGCATCCTCGAGCGCGCTACGCAACAATTGCGTAACAACGCAAATCAGATCGTGTGGCGAGGAAAGAGAACGACAGCGTTTACATTTTTCGTCAGCGTGCGAAACGAGGGGACGCGATCGCGCCTGTCAACGCAGCGGTCGAACGGTTAAATTGCATTTCCCGAAAGAGGGTACACACCCATTTTCCGAAACGGATTAACGCGACCACTTTAATCCGTGTCACGCTGACGTTGCACCCACGCGTTCCGTTATACCCTTCGTTGGATGACCGCCGCTGACCTCACCATCTCGGTAAGTAGTCAAGAAGGTATAGACGAGAGAGAGAGAGAGAGAGAGAGAGAGAGAGAGAGAGAGAAAGAAGAGCGCGATGGAATACGCGCGAGGACGAGGGAGTGGAGTCCTCTTACGACGTACCGGTTACAACGGATCCTTTCTATACCCTCTTACTTCGCGAGAGCTCTTCCACGTCTGGATTGGCGACTCGGGACTTATTCGTGTTCGCTATCAAAAACGCATTAGGTTGACTCAGCTTAAGACCCTCATTGTCTACGTGACACACGCTCCCGTGCCGGGTCTCGCGCGACGAATCCATACATCACACGGGTGAACGCTAAAGAAGAGGGACCCGGTCAACGTTAATTCGACGTTTTTCGCCGTCGGGTCGCCACCTGGGGATAATCCGCAGGATAATTCCGCAGAACGTACTGAAAGTTCGTAGCTCGCGCGCGCGTAGATTTATGGATCGGCGGGCGTACAATTACGTCTCTCGCGGGCTACGAGCACGCTTAATACGCGCTTGCACGAGCGGCGCGTAACTGTATACGCAGCCTCACGTCACATATATCTCGACGCGTTTTTATGCGCTTCTCGTGCGGCGCGCGTGCACGCGCAGCAACGACGCGCTGCGCGTTTGTCCGGATACTCCTCCGTCCTCGTCTGACGACGAGGCTCGCCGCGAGTACGAGTCGGAGTTTGATGATGCTTGACGATAACGACACTTTACTGGCATTAAGCATAAATATGGAACGCCTCAGGGGTCAGGTGCGGCGGCGGCGACGTGGACCGTAAGTGGCGAACGGTGAGGTACGCGGTCAGTGACATCCCGCCGGGCACGCCGACTCTGACTCTTCGGGGCTTACAGGTTTGACCAGAATTCACGGCATCGTGTGGATGCAGCCGAGGAACCGCTACGCGAGCAGCTGTGTGCCTGACGCAATTTCTTCTTTTTTCTCCTCCTTTTTCTTTCCTTCTCCGCGCACTCCGGCTTTAGATCATTTCCGGGGAGGGAGGTGGATGGGTGGATGGGGGAGTCGGAGAGGGAGACTCCGAAATCGGGACCCTCGCATACTAAGGAAATCAATCTTCGTGCCACGTGTTTCTTTCGTCTTCTCTTTTTCTCGCGACGCTGACGCAAGGGGACGATTTGTATGGACTCTCTCGTGGAGAGATGCGGGGAATTAACGGAACTCGCGCGGCACTATGCATTCCCGACGAAACGTCCGGCGAGAGCGCGTCCCGTGGCCGCGAGTGGTAAGCGATCGCCTGGGAATTCCAGTGATAACGATTATTTATATCTTCGCCGGGGCATATACGTACACACGCGTGTGATATTTCGCCGACTGCCGTATTTCCGGCCGAGCATAATAACGACATCGCGATCGCGCGCGAACACGTAGCAATCTGATGTGGGCAGGAGGAATCGCGACGGCGCGAGAGCGCGTCGCTCGTAATTTCCCGGGCGTAATGCAATCCGATACATCATGATTCCGATAATCTCGAAACAACAGAACCGAGAGGAAAGTCACCGATACAGCGAAGAGAGCGGCGTTATTCGCAACATACACACGCCGGATAAGTTTTTTACGGCGAAAACCTGTTGTACCTGTATCGGAGTCGGTGATGTTCCTGATTTCCTTTGAATGCGAGCGCGTCTCGCGAATGCCCACTGTCCCGAGGAAGATACATAATCCAGTAAAACTTGTCCGTCTGATGGATCGCCGGTGATCGAGCGCGTCGATCTCCATCGTCCTTGCGGGCCGAGAAAAGCCGGAGCAAAAAGGACATACGAGCTAGCGCGAGCGCGCCCGCGAGAAAGAGAGAGTCACAACAGAATCGCCTAGCGATTCTCCCGAGGGGGAGAGGGGGGAAGGATAAGAAAGAAAAAAGAAGAGAAAAAAGGGAGAGAAGACATGCCGGGTGAGTCGCGGAATTCAATCGATCCTGTCCGTTTAACCACACCTGCTCTTCGTCGAAGCACCGACGGCCAATTGATGAAGGGTGGAAGCAAAACTGACGTATCCTCAATAAGCCTTCATTGACGATGCAACGTTTTTGCACGTCGTCGTGTTCGTAGTATCATGCTTTTCCGAGAACGTTCCTCGCACGATCGATGCACCGATCGATCGATCGGTCGATCCATCCATCCATCCATCGCTCGATCGTCGTGCGCGCCTCCGCGAAACAGGATCGTCCCCTTTCGGCCGCAACAACACGAGGAATTACTCTCTCGAATTACGCGTTGCGGGGGTCCTTTTTCCATCGAGCGATTCCGAGCCGCATTTCACGGCTATGCGGAACAGAAAACCCTCGGCTTCAGCCCTGCGAGGCCGTTCCAGCGACACGATTCCATACCCATTTCAATTGGATCGCCTTATTTCGATATCGCGCCAGGGCTCGATATGTCCGGGAACATCGCTCGGAACCTGCTCGGAGGGAAAAAGCTCGCGGGATACTTCGCGGAACGAGGCTCGCGATAGAAGGAGGCGACCGCCCGAAGGCGACCCGAGAGTGGTCGTAGAACGAATATGGTGTGCCGGGTCCATGGGAAAGCACCTTGGGCCCCGACACGACCAGTGCCAGAGGTGAGCATTATGAGGTAATGCTCTCCCCGACGCCGAGAGGAAGGGAGACACACGGATAGGTTCGACGTCCTGACAGAACGTGGCTCGCTCATTCAAACATTGGCCAGCCGGCCGGCCGACTGCGTTAGTCACACCAGACGGTATACAAGAAAGACGATCGCGGAAGTGTACACGTCTCGGCGCGAGAGACTCTGATTTTCAGAAATTAATTCCGATTCACGCGGTCATTCACGCTCGAGGCTATTCGCAATCGCGAATCTTTTGTAATTTCTTCTACGAAAGATCACCGCGCAGCGCTTGACTCTATCATCGAGGAATGGAGGATTCGCTCCGCGAGTCTCCCCTTAATAGAATCAGTCTCTTCTTCTACCTGCCGAGCGAAACCAGATTCTATCGTAAACACGGCGAAATACACGTCCGACTTGTGTAAGACTTCTCTCGTTCGCGTCGAGATTACTCTTACTTTCCTCGGTCTTTATTACCGCAATATTCAACTTCTTCTCGGCCACTACGCCGAGAGTGTGAGAGGAGTAAACACCACGTCGGGGCGGATAGAAAAACAATTTTTACGAGTCGCGCGGTATCCCGGGGCAATTTATAATGGGACATGATCCGGTTTCCAGACCGAGCCGCGGGCTGAAATAATCCCTCGATCGCGTCCCCGAGCGGGGAAAATGCTTCTTACCCGTCTGCCGCCGATTTCCTCGTGGGAGTCCGCGTTCACGGTCTCTCTATCAAATAAATGACTCACATTTTGTACGACGGCTCAAGCGTGTCCGAGGTGTTGAAGCCGGACGAAAGAAAGGGGAGATAGAAGCGCACCGAGAGGCATTCCTTGCAAAAACTCACCAGAATGCGTGGATCGTGACGCCAGTAGGACGGCCAGCCAGAGGATTATCCCGCGTCTACAAAGCGCGGCACTCAACGCCGACATGTCGGCACTCTTCTTCCGTACCCTGCAACACGTAAATGATGCTTTCGTCAGCTTATATTATTCTCACGAGCACAAACTTATAGATAGTTTCTCTCTCTCTTTCTTTTCCTCTCGAAGCCGCACGCAAAGTGTGATCAGGATAAAATAGATAAAATGGATAAAACCTAATCCGATCTAGAAAGATCAGACTGAGCGCCTTATCTTTGAAATTCCAAGAGGAATTTATTCAAACGGTATTGCGGCGCGAAACGTTTCTTTGACAATGTCTTTATCTGCATTTGGTCCCGGTTTAAGTCCCTTTAATCGATCGATTCATCATCGTGCGATTATTAGATAAACAAATTAGTTGTCAGGTGTCAGCAAACGTGACACTAAGGTGTCCCTACGCAAACACGAGCACGAGAATGGCGGCGGTGGTTCGAAGTACCGATCAGTCCTGTGTTACGTCACAAATGCGATTGCTCCGGATTGTTCGAGCGAAGATCAAGCTGTCTACTCAGACAGCTTTGCGTATTTTTTCGCGCAACCGACGCGTCATCTGCATATACGCGAAAGTATAATGAGCCATTGTATATTGCTATCCTATTGCTTATCTATTCTTACGTGGCGCGGCTTGTAAGCCGTACCTATCTCGTCATATGGCGTTCTACCGTGTCTCTCTCTTTCTCTCTCTCTCTCTCTCTCTCTCTCTCTCTCTCTCTCTCTCTCTCTCTCTCT